CTTCCAGAGCTTCAGGTACCATCACAGGGTCAGGGAGCCAGCGACAGGATGAGCGCTGGGCAGCAACTGATGAGGCACCAGCATTGGTGATGGGTCGAGGAGAATCAGATTGATGCCCCAAACTGGTAACTTTCAATAAGGTCGGACTGTATCTTTACTGAGACACTGAGATTGGATGGGCGGTTTTATGGAACCACAACATTGCAATTTAGCTTCTTATTGGTCATTGGTGCAAAGAAGTGATTAGATAGATAGATAGATAGATAGATAGATAGATAGATAGATAGATAGATGGAAATACAATGGAGTATGTAAGATATAAATAAAAGAAATATCAAAATCTAGACATAAAACAATATATTGGTAAACAGCTCATTAGGTGAGATGACTGCACAAAGGGGCCATGGAATTGAATGAGAAGATGGGTGTGATGAACAGATAAAATAGGTCTGAGGTTTTAGTGTGAGGCCAGTCAAGAGCTGGGGACAGTTATCAGACCCAGGAGAGGCCAGAGTGTTCAGCAGTCGACCAGCCTGGGGATAGAAGCTGTTTTGTGTGTGTTCAAGTGAGAAGTGTCTCCTAAGCAGCTCATATCCTTTGTGTGGGGACTTTGGGCTGACCTGGGCTGGTGGCTGATGGTGGTCAGGTCTCTGTGGAGGGTGCGAAGGCCGTGGTGTGTCTGTGGCTGGAGCTGTGTGTGTGATTGGGGGGCAGGGCCTCACACACATGCCTCACACAGACGACCACACGTGGCGAGCTACAGACGCTCGTCTGCCACCCTGCCTTCCTCAGGAGGATGACTCCAGCAGCCCCCCCCTCCCCCTGCAGAGACCAGCCCATATCTAAGTCCCCCAGGGTCATGCAAAAATGACGAGGCTGACTCATTTCCAAACTGTGTATCTTCCCATCTGGTAGCCCCGTCCCGTACGGAAGTGACTGATACGTTTTATTTCGATGCTTGAAGCTTCCCAGAGGGCGCAGATAAGAGACGGCTATTTGGGGAAGAAAAAAAGTGGAGAACTGAGTGGACAGTTTTCCTATATTTACCTCTTAAACCTGACCTTAAATTCAGTGAGTAGTGTTTTAGCAAGGTGTCACTTCAAGGCCCCAGGAGAGAAGCTCGGTCGTCCATACACATGCCTGCCTTTGTTGTCCACAGATATGTGAAACCCCCCACGATTTTATTGTGGTGGTGTTCCTATTACACCACCGTTTGTTCTCTGAAGAAATGGCCAAGGACGTGGATCACGCTGTTTCCCGGTGCCTGCTCCTCTCTCCGTAAAAACCTCTCCCCGCAGACATTTAGCCCTCCCCGGAGCGTTTGGCATGGACACAAGCCTGTTTTCCTGAGCAGAGGGACACTTCGCAGGGGCTGGCAGGAAATCCTCTATTTGCCTCTTGCTTTTCCACGCCTCGGGATTGATGATATTTCCTTTTTCGGTTTGTGTCTGTGTACGGGGGTTGGGGAGGGGGGCGGTGGTGTTGGGGTGTTTGATGTGGGGGGTGTAGTTTGCATCAAGCTGGGTCCTGATGGGCTTTCGAGCGATAGGGACGTGATGAAAGGGAAGGCCTAGCGTGTGCATGATGGGAAGCCGGCGAGATTCACAGATAACCTTCCCATGGGTTAGTCTCTGTAGGCCGGGCCTTATGTCTGTCAGCACGGGGCGGAAAAGGTGCCTTCTGGTCCGGTTACTGCCCAATCACCAATCAGCATGTTGATTTTAAAGGCCGGCACATCAACAAAGTCAACAGTACGGCCATTAAGCACCCCTGGAACGGGCTGCTGGAAGTGTTGAAAGGTGTTGGCTTGTTTGACATGTCAAATAGTAACTTCTGTGGAAAGATTCCTTCCTGTTTGTACACACGTGTGAGAGTATCCCCTCTGTGTGCCTGTGAGTGCGTCAGCCAATGATATTTTCCGCTGTGTGTGCATGTGAGTGCATCAGCCAATAAGATTTCCCCCCTTCACCCCTGTTCACCTTGTTGGATGTGAACTGGGTCAAAACAAAGAAAAACCTTCGTTGCAATTCCTGTTCTGGCGATGACAGTTTGCTCTACCCAGGATGGTGACAGGGAGCTAGAGCAGAGCCAGTCAGAGGAAGCCCCCCAGGCTGACCCCTGACTCCACGGGAGGCAGTTTCCTCTGGCACCCCTCCCCCATGACCCACTGAACTGTTTTCTCAGGCACTGGGCGTGGGTGGGAGGTTTGGGCGGGCGGGAGGGGGGGGGGTTACAGTGGAAGAGCGGTTGTAAAAACAGAAGCCAGGCCACTGTTAGCATGCTAGCCGGGTTAAGGGAAAGCGCAGTCTCACCAGGGCCGCTGGCATGCCAGAAAATAAACAACGAGCTAATATCTTTTAATACGGTGCTCACTTTTCAACAAATTCAAACATGACCTTGCAAATGGCCCATAATGTGGGTGGAGTGGATAAATGCAGTAGGGGGACGTTAGCATCTCTCCGGTAACTCGAGAGTGAATTGCCTGAAATGTCTTGTTTTTAATAGCCATTCAGAATGAACAGAGAGATCGCCAAGTCTCCAGAAGAGGGGAGAGATAATATACAGAGAGGCTGTTTTTTGTCCTCTTAGGGCTTATTCGAAACAAACTGGGGCTTTGGAGCTGGTCCCAGTTGAGGTCTCCCATCTAAATGTTGGCTTGTAATTGTCGGGCCTTCACAAGCCACCCTTTGTCTCTCCGGCCAGAGTTGCGACGGGGGATTGGAGGGGATATTTACAGAATTGCACTGGGGTAGTGACGGTGCTCTCGCCTTATTGGGTGATGGGGCATTCTTTGAGGCTGGACACGTTACCATGGCAACCAGCCCAGCTGACCTTTGACTGCCACTCTGGGCCTTCAGAGGACCGGGTGGGCTTGACGACATAAAAAAAAAAAACAATAAAAAAAGTCCCTCTGTCTTGCAGGTTTGGATGGCCCTGCCTTTGCTAGGTACAGTCTCCTTCCTCATAGCTCAGAGTCATGCAGTGAAAGTTGGTCTTAGACTTATTGTTGCATAAATTTTGACTGTCTATTCCATTCTAAAGGTGGGCGCAGGTTCAGGTTAAAGAGATGCTTCAGTCTGTTTTGTGCTCTTTGTCTCCGCTGTGTGTCCCGCCCCCCCTTTAAAGCGAGGGGGTGATGGTCAGTCCAGCCCGCTGTCCACAGTTAAGGCTGAGTAATATTTCATGTTTGCTGTGTCCCATGCCATGTTGTCTCACAGCAGGAGAGAATTTTTTCACCCTAAAAGCAGGTGATTGTCTGAGGACGAATGTCTCTTGTTTGTGCCCTGACCAAAATTCACAGCTTGGTGCCACGATGGGCGGAGCTACGAGTTGCTCGCTGCCATCTTACAGGCCCGTTGAAGCCACAGGGGTCCAAGGGAGGTGCCCCGTCCGGTTCTGCTCCCTCCCAAGCAGCGACCCGGTTTATCCTGTGTGTGGAGTCTCTCAGTCACCGCTGGATGGGATGATTTCCTCTGGACTGGGGGAGTGACTGAGTGACCGTGTAGGCTGGAAATGGTTGTTTTACCTTCAGCTTACATGAAGCAAACTTAACATCCACCCGGGATACATTAGCGATCGGACTCAATGCTGTCCGCCATCCTATGAAGGAACAACTGGGAGGCACCAGCTGCAGTTTAATGGTATACTGGGGGGGGGGGGGGGGGGGGGGGGGGGGGGGGGGGGGG